GTAGAAAAGCTCACTTGTTACACATGCTTCCAAAACATTGTCAATTGCCCAAGAAAATGATGTTGAAATAGAACTGTTGGAAAAAGCATTTGGATGTTGCAGGACATCAAACAACAATAAGAAAGTAGGCTCTGGGGAAGTTGATATTGCTCTACACCTCATGATGACTCATTTGCCAATTTCTCAGAACCAAATTGAATGGATTTCAAATTGTTACTACAAATGGTAGTGTAGTGTAAATGTTAAAAATATCATTTTGCAGAGATAGCCAGATAGAGTAGAAATGGCAAACAATATCATTGCTTATTTGTACTGCAGATTGAAACTGAGCATACATGATGGGTGCATTAGTTGGATGCATTAATTTTTTTTTAAAAAAAAGCCTGAATCATCATGCCACAAGATCTTGGGGGGGGGGGATATGCACTCTAGTCTCTCAGGCCAAATTAGACATGACATGATTCTCATTAACACTACACAAATGATGTGCCAAATCCTGATCGAAATTAGGCCAATCTGGACCATTTTTGGTTAAGTTTTAAAGTGGATTGGGTGGGTCCAGGTCAATTTACCATTAAATCTTTATAAGTTTGAAGCCTTTTGGGTGGATTTGGTGATTCAGACATGAAAAGAAAGACAGATAGTGTATCATAAGTGTTGAGAAACAGCACTTTATAAGGAAAATATCAGGGTAGTGTGATATGGAGTGGGAGGAAGAGAACTGCATCACAGCATATATCTAACTACTTAGCTATAAGTAAAGGAAAAGGTTTCCCTTGACAATTTGTCTAGTCGTGTCGGACTCTAGAGAGCAGTGCTCATCCCCATTTCCAAGCCATGGAGCCAATGTTTCTCCGTAGACAGTTTCCGTGGTCACGTGGCCAGCGCGACTAGACATGGAACGGTGTTACCTTCCCACTATGGTAGTACCTATTTTATCTAGTCGCATTTTACATGCTTTTGAACTGCTAGGTTGGCAGGAGCTGGGACAAGCGACAGGAGCTCACTCCAACATGTGGATTCGAACTGCTGATCTTTTGACCTTGCAGCCCAGAGGCTTTTGTAGTTTAACCCACAGCACCAGAACGTCCCTGCTGTGCCACCACATCCCCATGTGACTTAGCTATACAGTACATACCCTATAAACCAGTATTGTGTGTGTAATGTGCCATCATGTCAGACCTCACTTACAGTGACCCAAAAAGTTATTTTACAGTAAATGAGATATTTAAAGAATTGTTTTACTAGTTCCACCTCCTTGGTGAGTTTCCAAGACTGAGCAAGTATTCAAACCCAGGTCTCTTAGGCTTGCATCTGCACATTTGGGAAAACCTGAACAGAAGTCACAGCAACTTCAATCGCTGCACATAACACAAGTCTTGGTGGGATTTTTAAAATGATGCTAATGCATATTTTTGAAAATCACACTGGGCTTCCATCATTGGCTGGCCAATCTTAGGAAGCTTTGCAGCTACTGCCAGCACTGGGCTCAGGAGAGCAGAACCTTCACCTGTTTAACACCCAACAGAAAGAGAGTTGCTCGAACTGCCACACACACCCCCCCGAAAGAACAGTGTCACTTCCTGGCCACTGTGGGCGACTTCTTGGCTAACTCAGCAGTGGCCAGTTTGTGATAGCTGTGGGCAGTTCCGGCAGCTCTTTGTTCACCATTAGTCAAGCGGGCAAGCTGCTGCCTTAACTCTGGGCTGTCAGTAGCAGTGGGTAGCCTCTCAGCACTGGCAGGCCATATTTGGCTGCTCCACATCCTGTTAATGCAAGGAAGCACATAAAAATAGGACATGTAAAACAGGTGGTTTTGTGTCTCTTTACAGATAGTCCAGAATAAAAAAGCTTATTGTGGGTTATCTGAAATGTGTAGTCCCTGCTCACGTTCACCAGTCTGTCAACTACAAGTAGTTATAGTGATTCTCCAAGAAAATTACTTATCCATGAATATGCGAAATAATTATTTTGCAAATTGCTGAAGACAGAAATAGACTATTAGTGGAATGAGTGGAATTTCATATTTTTGTGTATTTTTTTGGTTGTTCCTCTAACATAGTAACATAGGTTACACTTGTTTTGCATAGTGAACACATGAAATGTGAACAACATATGTGTATCATACCTATTTTCATGTATTCATTATATCACAATCAGGATCATATAGTGGCCAAAATTCTATTGATTAGTGTAGTCACTTGCAATAGAGTAGACAAATTGAATCAATGGGGATTTGGTGAGTCAATTCCCCCACAAGTGTCATTGATTTAAATGGGCCTAGTCTAACTGTGACTTCCTCTGCTAACATTAAGCCACAGTTAGAGGAGGCCAATTTGAACCAATGGTACATATGGAAGAGTTGACTCACCAAATCCCTGTTGATTCAGTGCATCTAATCTGGTGTCATTTACTATGCTAAGCAGTAGGATTTGGGCCAAAATCTATTTAAGATTTGTATGCATTCAGTAGTTACCTATTTTTGATATGTTTGTTTGAAGAGCACCTTATATTCTACGAATTGTGAGAAGGAATAATTTATAGATATTTTCCGTTACTTCAGGCATGACCAAGCAATGATTTTTTTCCAGATCATTGTTTAAGACTGCAATCCTAAAGTGCAATTACTACGAAGCAAATTTAATTGGACTGTTAGAACTTTTGCATGCTGATGATTGTGCCTATCTTCAAGTGGGAAATTATCCAAACACTAAAAAGAAATGAGTTATAATTCATACAAACTGTACTCCAAATCTAAATGAATGAGCTGCACAGACTGATTTGATCCATACTTTAGATTACATTATTTTGCACATCTGGGGCGGACTAGTGTGTTACATCTGCAAAGGTGGGTTCCCAAACCTGTGATGCAATGCTGAGATAATGCAATACAGGCATGAGACATGGGCAGATGATGTCTGGAAGTGAAGAAAGGAGTTGCTTAACTTTTCCTCCCAATCTCTTCATGTAAGCATTCCTCTTTTCATTGCTAAAACAGGTTAAGAGGAGATTTGTGGGGAACAATTAACAAGTAGGGGTAAGAATTATGCATGCCTACCCACACATTTGAGCTGTCTATGGCATCTGGAATTTATATTTATTATAAGCCTCTTTTTGGAGGGGCTGAGTCTTATTTCTGACAGATCTCAAACTCTTATTCTGTGCTTTGAAGCATATTTGAAGGCCAACATGGGTGAACTGAAATTTTCTTCCCCCAACTTAGAAGGAAGATGGATACACACATATCTAGAGTGATGTTCATGATGGAACATATTGGCCTCCGCCCATCAGTGGGCTTCTGCTGGTTAAATGGGAGGCTACAAAATGATCACAATGTGATAATTCCTGTCCCTGTTGAATCCTCCTCCCTCTGTGACCCCCAAACCATTTCTACAAAATCTCCCAGAGCCAGTTTTCAAGCGATGTGGAGGGCTGAGAAGGGAGCAGGGAGGGAAAGGGAAGTTCCTTTGTGCTGGTACCTGAGTGCCAGAGCAACATTAAATTTGAACCAGAATGAGTACATTTGTACATCCTTGTATATTCCTCTTGCCCAGCACACACATAGCATTAGCTACCTACACACAACACAGAGATTACAAGAAAAGTCCAGGTTTTGGAACACCGTCTTTGGTTTTTACTCTGTAGTCCTATCCTCAGTTGAATGCAGCTTCCTTTGATCAAAATGGGACATTTTCTAAGATGTATATGCTGTACTATTAACATTTCCACTACAAAGTAGATTACTGTAATTAACTGGAAGTAGTTTGAAATTTGCCAGAAAGTCAAGTTCATTCTCTATTTAGAAGTGTGTTACTTTAGAATAACTCCATGTATTTGCTCTTTGTTTAGATACTTTATGTTCAAGGCAGTTTTAACAGACAAGTTGGGACAACTTGAAGCTGAATGAAGCTGAAAGACAGACCATTCCCAAAGGTGTGCCTTCTACTGGCATTGGAATCACAACGTGGCATAGCCTGCATGTGTCTTCATGCCTTCAGAAGGCAAAACGCTTGGTATAGTAACAGCTGCACTCAAAATTGCTGCTAGACAGTCAAAAGCAATGTTACTGCAAACGTGTGTTATAGCATGCTCGAAAACATTATGAAATACATACATACATACATACATACATACATACATACATACATACATACATACATACATACATACATACATACATACATATTTTTATTACAGTCCTTAGATCAATTAAACAAAAACTATTACACTTTCAACCTTTCCAGCATAAAAGCATAACAGAATTACCACTTAGTTTAAAATCCATTTAAAATCAATAATTTAAAACCATTTAAAATCTACACGTCTAAAATTTGCCTACACTTTGATTTCTGGAATCTAAATATCACCATGTAGAAACTTGCAACGTGACAGGTAATCTTAGGTCTTTATCTGAGAGAAGAAACTGGAGTCTACTTTTTTCTGTACGACCTAGGATTTTTTTAATCGGTGGAAGAATAATCTGGTTACATGCAATATCATAGTGGGGACAGGTAAAAAAACATGTGAAGTGAACATTTACGGAGTGGTTTGCCACTTTGGGAGCTGAAGGAAATGGCCAATGGAACGTTGGCCTCTGACCGGTTCCCATTCAGAGTCAAAAAGAACCAGGGGAAATTCCAGTGTAGAAGTGATGTAACTGGGGGATTGAGGAAAAGGTCACCCAGGCTGCAAAAAAGAATCAAATGTGTTTTCCTCTATTCCTTGCTTCTTGTCAATAAAGCATTTTGATTACTATTT